GATGTTCTAGAAGAGAATTCTTTTCTTTGCCTTTTTTCACCTGCTAGAGTTGGCACTGTGGAATAAAGCACTGTTCCGCAAGGTTGGCTTGAACCACAAGGTCCACAGTTTGAACTCACCAGCCATTCCTTAGAAATCCTGCATAGGGTCGCTGTGAGTCAGAACCGACTTGACAGCACTTAACAACAACAATGACAACATGAGTTTGCCTGGAAGCATGGTGGCTTCATACAATAAGCACTGAACTACAAATCACAAGGTCTGCAGTTTGAACCTGCCAGCCACTCTGTGCGAAAAAGATGAGACTTTCTGCTCCCATTAAGATTTAAAATCTCAGAAACCCCATACAGGGTCGCTATGAGTCGTAAGTGACTTTGATGGCACCTGACTCGATAGCACTTAACAGCAACAAAGAGTTGGCCTGCGTTCCCTGACTTGTGCGCCTCTTCCATCTTCAAAGCCAGCAGTGCCTGGTTGACTCTTTCTCCCACTTCTATGTCGTTGGTTCTGACTTTTCTGCCTCCCTCTTTCACTCATGAGGCTCCTTGTGATTGCATTAGGAACTCTGGCAGTGCAGTGGTTAAATTAGTGCTGCTATTCAAAAGGTTGGTGGTTTGTCCAGAGATGAGGTCATGGAGAGAGGGAGCAGCTGAGGACTCTGGACTCATGGAAAGAGAGGGACTGAGAGCTGGCGGCCAAGAGGCAGGCTTGCAGAATGTGCCCTTTGGTTATTTAAATTACTATATATTCCAGAGTGTCTCTGTGTACATCCCCCAGACCAAAAACAACACCACCACCACCAAAACAAAACAAAACAAAAAAACACCAGAGAATGGAAGTAAAAACTGTGTGATGATGCACAGAGGAGATTGTCATCATTGCAATGGAATGATGGTGTATAACTGATGTTCTCCCATGTAAACTATCACTCAGTTCACAATAAAAATTTACAAAAAAACAAAAAGGTCAGTGGTTTGAATCCACCAGTTGCTCAGAGGGAGAAAGATGCGGCAGTTTGCTTCAGAAAGATTCACAGTCTTGGAAACACTAGAGAGCAGTTCTACTTGCTCCTAAAGCGTCACTGTGAGTTGTAACGGACAGGATGGCAGTGGGTTTGCTTTACGATTATGTTCATATTGGACCCACCTGGTTCATCCTAAATAACCTCACTATATCAGGACAGTGGATTAGCAAGCTTACTTCCACTGCAACCTTAAGTTCTCTTTGACATTTAATATAATAGAGTCCAGGGATGAGAATGTAGACATGTTCGTTGTTACTAAGTGCCATCAAGTCAATTCCAACCCATAGTGACCCTGTACAGGGTTTCCAAGGAGCAACTGGTGAGCTTGAACCACCAACCTTGCAGTTCAAATGACTTTGCAGTCTGACGCATTAGCCCACAGTGCCACACCAGGACTCATTTGGGAGACCATTTTTTTTTCTTTCTTGCATACCCAATAAAGATATTGAGGCAGAGCATGAACACTGTTCACTATAAACTAGGAAAAATTCTTGGCTGAAAATCATAATCCTGGCCCTTGTTAACTCCCTTCCCGATACTAATTATATTGACTTTGTAATGTCATCTGGTAAGAAGTTCAGAGTAGACAAAGAGGAACCCTCCTGTTAAGTGCACAGAATGAGGAGAATGCTAATCCATGTTTGTTCCAAGCTCTCCTAGTGACATAATTAGTCCTGTTTCTCCCAGTGAAAATGAGATGAGAAAGTGAAGATGGCAGACAGACCATGAGCATCTAGTCTGACGACTTGGATATGCACCCTGTACAGTTGGACCTGGCATCAGCAATTTACTTTCTCTGAACCTATGTTCTCATTTCAATGTAGAGATGATAATACCACCCTGAGAATTTTGCATGGATTAATGAACTAGCAGAGGGAATGTACCTAGTATCTAGTAGGTTTTGAGGGGAACATTAGTCCTATTATTATTATCATTATTATTAATGGAGATAATAATCATCACACTACTGAGGCACAGAAAGATATTCAGAAACTAAACCAAGTTACTTTAGCAAGGAAGCAATCTAATAAAAATAATTGAAAAAATAATGTTCAGATAAAAGGGAGTAATTAGTGTATATGAGTCTAAATGCTTCACATACACCTAAGGGGTTAGCTGTAATTTGGCAATATATGTTGTATAAGGGATATGGACAAATAAGGGGTACTCAGAATGGTGAGTGAAATATGAAAATAAAATTGCGGGGAAACTCTTGGAGTTTGGTGTGGAAAAGACGTAGGATTTGCAGCTGTATTTTAAAACCATGTGGAAAAAAATCAAGAGACTCCTTTTATATGCATTTCCAAGCAAGGGTTGGGAGCAACAGATGACAATTAAGAGAAAGATTTCTCTAAGAACCTAATGATGTAATAGCTGCACTTTGAATGGGTTGCCTTGTGAGTAGTTTGACTTCTTTTAGGTGTAGATCTTTCCTAACTCGGGCTGCCTACTATTCAGTGAGATAAAACTTGGGAGCGTGTAGCTTCCCAAAAAGGTCATAGTCAATATCTGTTATCATGGAATTTGGACTTACCAGTGATTTCCAATATGTCCAGGCAGACAGAGTCCTACAATTGCCTGTTTCCTTCCCCAAGGCACACTGTAAGGAGTCAGCCATTTGAAATGAAGAGCAATGTCAGCTCCTCCTATGAACATGCACACACGGCCCATCCCCATCTTAGAAGCACGTCACGCCTCGCTCTTGGTGCCTCCATCCTTATATGTCAAAGTTGTTGCTGTTAAGTACTGTGGAGTTGGTTCCAACTCAAAGCGACCCTGTACAGGGTTTCCGAGGCTGTAAATCTTTACGGGAGCAGAACACCTCATCTTTCTCCCATGGAACCACTAGTAGTTTTGAACTGCTGACCTTGCAGTTGGCAGCCCAACTCATAACCACTACACTACCAGAGCTCCTTATGTGTCAAAGTAGACTGTGTTTTATAGGCTTTTCAGTGACTGCTGTTTCTGAAGTAGATAGCCAGGACTTTTTTCCAAGGCACCTCCAACCTTTTGGTTAGTAGCTAAGTACATTAACCATTTGTACTCCCTGGAGACCCTTATCTTTAGAAGACAATTATCTATAAACACTGCCATTTTCAAGTATAGATTATTAATGCCCTTCCTTCAACAGGCAACAATTAGGAATAGTGATTGTATCAGTCAAGGATTGCCACAACACTGCTGCATAACAAACTACCCTCAAACGCCAGCATTAAAACAGGCACTGCTGGCAGCTAGAGCTTTCATTTCACTAGCTACAGTAAGTCACATGCTGCTCCTGCTGTGTGCTGCTGAATTGGTTCCGACTCTTAGTGACCCTGTATATGGTTTCCGAGACTGCAAATCTTTACAAAGCCTCATTTTTCTTCCTTGGTATGGCTGGTGATTTGAACAACTGACCTTGC